AGTAGTTGTGGGTTTAAATAGCATTTCACTGGAGATCTAACATATAATTACACAGTAATACTTTTACATTTCCTGTCACCTTAACATCTTTTAATACAAAAACACGGTGGACCACCGGTGGACCGTCTTGGCATCCCGACCACCAGGCTTAGCAAGTTTTCTGGAGGAAGCCCTGCATACATTTGGAAATGTCTTCTTTATGTACATAAAAATAAAAGTACAATAATCAGAATTTGTCAATAGATTATTAAATAAAAATAATATAACTTAAATGTAACTTAACATGTCTGATAAAATTATTGTTAAAATATTATCCTTACAGTGTAGCTTTACTACACCACTGTACTACAGTGTCATAGTTTTTCAATTTCAATTATTTATATCATTGAAAGATTATTATACTGTCTATATGTTCAGTGTATGTTTTGCATACACTGAACATATAGAGAATTAAATGTGTTATTCTTTCTTTCCAACTTTAATATTGTACCTAGATGGAAAAATTCTTATTAATAAGAATGGATAAATAAGTCTATTTACTCTGTTTATGTCTGAAGAATGTGATTATAATTCATTCCAAGACTGAAATAAGACGAAATGAGATCGGATTTGTCCATTATTATCATTATTGAGAATTACCATTATTAATTATAATAATTAATGTTGTTATTATTAAGTCATGCCTTAATAATACGATTTTCTTCTCCCATGTCTCTAAAAGGGCTCAGTAGGAATCTCTCAAATGAGTTCAAATATTTTGAAAATTATTCACTCAGCTCCTCTAAGCTCGTATTATTTCAAGACGTCGCATTTTCTGAAAAGAGCTTTGTTTTTGCAATGAGAAAAGACATTAATGAATCACTATTTTTCGTGGAATTAAAAAGTATTTTACATCCTCTAAGCAACTGACGCCAAACATTAACAGATATCTCACTTTGAACTCATATTCTTTTGTTTAACAGCTAAAACCTAAAAATTTTGTCCAGATATTGTTGCCAAGCAAACCTCCTCGTATTCAACTGCAATGAACTCTGCTTATAAATAAACGCAGAGCAGTAATTAGCCTTTTAACAGATTAACAACATTTTGGCTGCTACTTAGGGAGTTAGCAAACGCGGCTCAGCAAAGTGTTAGCTTACGCCTCAGCTCCTTTTGCTTGGCTCCCAGCTGCTCTGCCTCGTCTTCATCCGAGTCAAATGGTTTCATTGAAATATTACCGTCAATAAACCACATTCAGACAGTCAATAAACCTGCTAGGCTACATACAACAACCCAACAACAGCCATCATTCCCAACACGTCATAAAGGTAACCAAGGCTCACGAAGGCGGTGTTTGTTATTACACACTAGCTTTTTTACAAAAGCGGTATTCTTCATTCATATGACAGTCTACATCACCGCCCCTCCCGAATCATTACAGTGTGCTGTCGTTCATTAAATAAAGCATCCATCTTCTGGCTCGCTGAGGTTCCCACTTCCTTAAACTCGAAGTAATGATGGGAGTTGTAGTATTGTCAGCTCGCTGAATTCTACAGATTATATGGCAAGAATGTCTCTAATATTTTTCTAGGTTAAATGTGTGTTAAAAAGAGCGACTTAAACCTTCCTGAACATCAGAATTAATGTTGCCTTTTATTTAGATAGAAACGTATTCTGGCTTATGCTTGCTTGCTTTTTTTTTTTTTTTAAGTTAACATATGTTTTCAACTTTTCTTAAATTTTGCACAGTGACACCACCACAGGTATGATGGCTTCAAAATGATATTGCTCCATAATAAACATGTACATGCAAACTGTTGTTGGATAATACAGTAGAAATGCAATTGTTGCAGTGTTGCCCTGTAACGTACTAGTGAGGCGCCCAGAGTGTACCCTATAGACTCATGCACTGATCCATATCTCATCTAGCCCATCTGGACATAGGTCTCATATGAAGAAAGTGACAGGTGTGAACAAATCTTAAAGTCTTCACTTTCACATTGCCCCCTTGTGGTAAAAAGACCGCCTTTTCAACAAGCATGAAGGATTTCGGTTTAAGTAAATTTTAGACATTGGCTAAAAGAAAAAGTTGATTTACTAACACTAAAAAATCGTAGTCTAAGTGCAATTTCAGTAGAAGCTAAAAATAAAAAAAATAAAAAGCTTATAATAGACTTGTACACTTTCCATCGTTCCATCTTACAATAAATCAATAGGGGGCGCCATCACATTTATACCTATATCCACAAAAGTGATTGCTGATGGCAGAAAATGCTATGATGCCTTCTGTGATTATTACTGAGGAACACTTCTATATCAAACACTGACAAGCTGGCTGAAAGAGTAAAAATAATCTGAATAACTGCTGTCTTTTGAGAAAGAAGATCGGTAGTCTGCTTCTAGAGAACCAACTACACAGTAGTCGGAGCCGCTTCTTGCTCTTTGTGGACTATGCGAATGAATAAGCCGCCACCAGCCACCAGGGGGCGCCAAAGCTAAATCTTCAATCTCCAATGATAATTTAAATAAGCCATACTTGCATATAATGCTTGTTTTTTTAAATTATTATTGTATCTGTTATATTTATGCTGTAAAATTCAACTGAGAAAAAAACAAATCTGTAAGAAGAAAAAAGAAAAAGTTGCAATAACCTGGTTGCATAATAATGCACGGCCTACTTGGACTTTGTTGAAGCTTTTGACTCAGTTTCAGTAGTAAGTCTTTTGAAAAAGTTTTTCAGCTTCCTACATTTTAAGATGACAATACTGTGCAAAGTTTTCCAAAACTGTCAGACTGTGAATCAATAGCTTGTTTGCCATCTTCTCCACATAACATGGACTCTGGCTGGGCTCAAAATGCTCATATCATTTTCATCATAAAGTTACTTTGTTGGTTTTTATATGGTAAAGTTGAAAGTACTCAGGGGACACATGACTTTGATTGTTGTTGTTTTTTTCGTTGTTGTTTTTTGCAAAATTGCTCAAACTTTTTTTAGTTTTTTTTTATTATTTCACCTGCTCAACAGTATGTTACTGAAATAGGGAAAGCAGTCAGAAATCTGTGGGAAACGGATCTGTAAATCACTGTTGATCTGAATATTTAAGGATATTGCATAATATAGATTTTTGGGGGTTTATGACCTTTTCATAGGTGTGTGTGTGTGTGCGTGTGTGTCTGTGTACACTACATATACATATGTTCTCTTAGTACTTTGCTTTTGTGCAGGATAAAGGTCACACTACATGAAGAAAAAGTTTTGAAACTTCTTATCGCGATGTAATTTTTCTACATTACAAAACTTGCCATTTTGACAGGGATTGTGACTGTGACCTCCACCCACAGAAAATTTAAAGGTTAAGACCAAAATACCTTTTAAATACAGGCTGACAAGTGACTGTTGTTTTAGCAGTTTCATAATTGTAAGCAGAAGCTGGTTATTGTGTTTATTTCCTGACTAAATACAATATCAGTTTTCTTTTTGCCCAGGTCACCCTCACAGCTAGAAACAGCCCTGCTGATAGCAATTAATTATGTAAAAACAGCTAACAACACCTGCCAACAATACAATAATTTTTGACATTATGTATGAATATTTAAATATCCAAATAACCTGATTATAAGTATAATGTAAGGTTTGATAGGCCAACCATCTGTTTGTCTATCTATCTCTTGTCTTTACCCTTTGCAGGGTTGGTGCCAATCTCCAGTCGCCATTGGACAAGAGGCGGGGTAAACCTTGCGCAGGTGTCCGGTCCATTGAAGGGCAACAGAGACACACCGGGCAAACAACCACATATACACACACATGCGCACAGACATACACACCCCTAAACAGCAATTACAAAGAGTTAACCTCAAAGTCATGTGTAGGATTGGAACTCATGACCACTGTGCAGACTGTGGTTTGATTTGGAAATTCGTAATTTCATGTGAGGTCACATTCTGGGATGTGTTACACAGTTAATGCATCCTTAATTGGTTTCTTAATGCTCTTAAAAAGCTGATAGCATTCTAAATTATTAGGTTACTGGCAAAATGCTATTATATAACTGTCTCAAAAACTTTTTATTATTGGCAGGTATGACATGACCCACAAATACAGTATTGGTAAATGCATCTGTTCTTATTGTGCTGTCCTAACTGTAGTTGGTTTAGTCTCTTGGCTGAATATGGAGGACTTCTACAACTTCTGAAAACTACTCCAATCTAAAAGACACAGTCTTTAACGACATCATGATTGGATGAATGTCATGATGTGTGGATGAGGTGGTGAGGAGAGACTCAGAGACCCAGGTTGTGATGAAGATGGTGATTTAATGATAAATATCCACAGAACAACGGGAAGCACAACAAACACACAACGGCACAGGGAAACTGTCTAGTACACATGACGAGAATTTGACCAGAGACAAAGACAACAGGTGGGTTTAAATACACAGGTAGGGTAATGAGGGAACGAGAAACACCTGGGAACAATAAACAGGGCAGACAGTGACTCACAGGGGAACAGACTAATAAACACAGAAAAACCTCAAAATAAATACACAGAAAACACGGATCACTACAATGAACCCTTAAAGAGCTGTCATGTTTGCACTGAACAAACCCCTATGTGAAGGGCCGTAGTTATTTACACTTCAATTTGAGCGGATATGTGGTCCACTATCAATGATCCTTCCTCTGAAACAAGCAAAAAAAAAAAAAAAAGGCGGGACATGCATATTTGGTCTTTCCAGTCAGAGTAATCTGAGTAGTCACATTGAGTAAAAACCAAACCATTGTTCGCTTTAAAAGGTATTTTTGAAGAAGGAAGAATCCCTGTTTGGTGTTGTCTCTTCTAGCCTCTAGCTTTGTTGTAAAAAGCAACCTTAAACCTTAAACACTAACATGTTTTCTTCTGAGTCTGTTTCACACAGAAACGTCTTTTTTAGTGCACTTCCTCCTACCTCCGATTTCTATGTAAATAATCACAAATAACTGTCTATTGCAAGCTTGAAAAATGGTTTCAGGGTTTGTTAAAATAGCTAGGGTAATTTTGAGACGGAAGTTGTTTTAAAATGGTAGAAGTTGACTTTGGTCTTGGTCCGTCTCAGACTAGCGGTGAGCTTTTACCCCCAGGATCAGCTAACCTGGAGTTATCCTTAATGAACATATCAAAATAGTTATCTACTACTGGTCATGTGTTTTCTTCTTACCATTTTTTTTTTAGCATATCCTCAGGTTTTGCAGCAATGTTTTGCAATTTCCTAAGTGTTGCAAGGTTTTTTAACTCTGGTATATTTTGTTTGAAAAGTCCTCTTGTTATGCAATTTGCAAGGTTTTTTTTTAAATGTTTTATATTTTCCTAAGTTTGGAAATAGTCTTGCAACACCGTCTGGACTAACAGGCAGCAGTAAGTATTTCTTGTTATTCTGATATCCGTTTCTTTGACATCCAAATATTCCTAATGAGTGACTTGATAAACCTCTATTTTTATTCAGTAACTGGCTGATGATCAGTTATTTAAATCTGTTAATTTACCTTCATTTTAGGTTCTGTGACTTTCTAATTATTTAAAAAAAAAAATTAAATTCACACTTATTTCAGTCCCTCATTGAAGGGACCAAATCACACTGTTAAAGCTCCATTTTAATTTTTTATTTTTTTGTTGTTGTTTTTTTACAACAATGGCCAACATTTGAGAGCAAGAATCTGAACACAAGAGTTTTATAGACTAAACATCAAAACTTCCCGCTTCTATTAAAAAACAGTCTCTTTCTGGTCCCTTCAATAACACAATTGCTATTAAAGGGTGTTTCTTTGTGTGGTGTCATGTAGTGGAAATTGATAGCTAATGCGGTTGACAAAATGGTCAAAGTTACCATGGATACACCCTCTTCCTATTGCACAATACCAGAAAACCTCCTGTGGAATAAGCGGTGACTGTACTTTTGATTTTTGAGACATTTCTCTTTTCAAAAGAAGAGCCAGTGAGTCAGAGTTGGGCGCATTCATTCACAAAATGACATTCTTCCCTCAGCTAGGTTTGACATTTTCATTCATAGTTTATTTCTGACAGCTTAAACACTGAGCTGAATTGGACATGTGAAGCTTTTGTTGCTGAGTAAATTTCATTTTTGTACAGTCTCTTGACTTCAAAGAAAATCAAAAGAAACATGCTTTTGTTCCATACGTAACTTTGACAGCGAGTTTGTTATCATAAATTGTGTCGCTAAATGAACCCGATGATCCGGAGCTGCTGTGCTCCAATCCACCATTTTGCCTCACGTCTGTCTGATAGCAGCAATAATATATGTAGGCTGAAGTCTAAAACGAAGCTGAATTAGACATTGTCTCTCAATATTTT